GGCCTTGCAGCTATCTCTCCCTCTTAACATGGTTTCCTCTAGTTCCAGGGCGCACCTTTTCGTTCCATATTGCACGTATATGTTTTAAATGAAAAAAGAAATGTTATAATGTATTACATAATTGGATATTGCATTTGATGTTGCATAAAACATTACAACTATACCTCCTGGAGCTTCAGCTTCCCTGTAGGGAGGTCAGGATTTTAGACAGGTGGAAACCCCCTTCCCTAGCGTGGAAAGAGCTGGAGTTTTCCTGGTGGTCTGCAGGGGGGAACGGTGGGAAGGGCAGCACCTCATGTGCTGCTCTGGTGAAGCAAGTTTGGGTAGATGGTGGCTCCAACAGGAACCACTGAGTAACGTGGCAAGAATGTGCGGAATTATAGGCTTGTGAGGTTTGTTTCCTCCCATTTACAAATTACTTAAAGCTTCTACATAGTTACCTTCCTCCTCCTTTTGGCAAATAAATGAAAACAGCGCTTCTTGTTGCCTTATTGATGCTGACTTCCCATGGTGAAGCTGAGTGTGACTCTTCACAACCTTAATTTGGCTCTTTGCCATGCTGGTCCAAGGTGAGAAGGAACTAAGGAATTAATGGATTGGTAGAGAAACTTGTGGTAGAGTTGGGCTTCCTGCCCTTAACCCATCTTTCTTCAGTTGGTTTCAGTCTCCTGCAAGCTGGAGATGACTTTTGAGGAAGACCTGGCTGTGTTCCTCCTTGCTGGAAGAATTTCGGGTTAAGTCTGCCAAGGTTTTTGGGATCAAATTTTTGTGGTAGAAAGCTTAGCTTTGCACACCAAAAAAAAGTCAGGAAAACGTTACCCCAAGGAAGCTTTTCAATTTTGTCAAGTAAATAATTTTTAAAATATCAGTTGTATAAAATTCTTTCTTCAAGTTGACAGTTTCCCCTGTATGAAAAACTACTGTGTCAGGTTTTTTTATTGAAAATGCTAACTTTTTGCTATGACACTTCAAAATCAGCACTTTTCTGAACATGTTTGGCAAAAGATTTTTGTATCTAAGATGTGTGTCATTTCTGTTTGCAGTGAAAGCAGGTGTCAATCTCTAATCTTATGTAGCAAAAAATCCCACTTTTGCTTTTAAAGCCTCACTCAGATCCAAGGAACAGCAAACTCTGTGTCCCAGATGTTTTTGGTTTGGTTTTGTTTTTTTGTTTTGTTTGTTTGGGTTTTTTTTAAGAAAAATATCCTCAGAGAGGGGAAATTCTAGTGAGGTTTCAGTGATTTCTTGAAACATGACAAGGGAGAGGAACAGAAAAGGAAACAGATAGGAAAAATCTCACTCCCATCCTCTTCAGTTTCCCTTCTGTTTTTTTTTTCCTGATTCAATTTCTTAACAAGACAACTCCTTCCTACGTGAACAAGCAGTTGGTCAGTGCTATACCCAGAGCAGATCCGGGGCTGAATTCCTGGCCATGAAACCTATCTTGGTGAGACTGAAGTGGAAGCATAGTCTGTGGGTATGGTGGCACCGATACGAGATCCCACAACACCCGTAGCGCTGTGTCCGAATTCATGGCTGGAGGGTCTGCGGGCAGAGCGCCTTTTCCACGGGTAGGCCGGGCAGTCTTGCAAGCATCCGGGAGGGGACCACAGAACGTTTTACCTTGAAGTGGGATTATTCCCCTCCCTGGGTGTTAGACTTGGCTGGAAAAAGAGGCAGGAGAAAAAGGTAAGGATGTGAGCCAAAGGGAAACACAAAGCAGGTCCTGTTTTTCCTGTCCTTTCTACAGCTTCAGTTGTCTTAGGGGAATTAAAGGTTTTTTTTTTTTCCTTCTTGTGGGGCAGTTGCTGGCGAATGGACACTGCTGGAGTTGTCATCTTTCGCAAGGGATCTATAAAAGTTATTCCTTCCCCCATCAAACCCAGCCCCCAAACCAGATATTCCATAGCTTGGTGATGTGAAAAGAAGACACAGGAGGTGGAACGGGGAGATTCATTTATTATTATTATAAATAGAAAAATCGATGTCCCTAGCCTTTTTTTCAGGGAGAAGCAACAGTGGTTCCCAGACGTCTGCTAGTAGGTCTTGCCTTATCACATCAATGTACTCCCTTCCATCTTTTAAGGCTTCTTTCCTTGAAATGTGGTGCAAATGTTGATAGAAATAAAGCCAGCTGAATAAAACTCCTAGCCCTTGTAGCAGGGTTGGCTATCACGGTTTGCTTCCCTGAGCACTGGATGGCAGGTGATGTTGGGGGTTCATGCCCTGGGTGCTCATTCCCTGCCCCACGCATGCAGCAGCTCTTGGGGCTGCCAGCACCTCTTCTGCCTAATGCCGTAATCCCTCCCGAGCTACGAACACTATTTCTGTGCACACATGGGCTCAACAAGCCCCGTGTGCCTGGATTGCATTGGGCAGTCTGTCCTGAGGTGTAAACAGGGGCCAAGGTGTCCTGAAGCTGCTTGGCCAAGATCTGCATGTGCTGCCTGGAACACACCCCTGTATTTCCACTCAGGAAATCCAGGACAGAAACATGAGTGTCATTGCTTTCTGAATGCAAATGATGGTACTTAAGTGAGCTCTTGGGCACTGCTGTAGGTCCCGATACACCTGATGTGAATTTCTAATGTAGGAGAGAAGGGATAGAAAACCCCAAGTGTGTACTGGATTTTTTTTTTTCCTAAATGTGCTGGGTCTTTTGTATTAAAGATAAATTCATGTTTTCCTCTTGACTGACTGTCTTTGCACACTCGTCACTGCATCTTGCAAGTCTAAGATTGTCTGTAGAAATGGGAGGATATGGTGAGTTTTGAACAACAACAAAAAACCCCCTTTAAATCTCAGCCTACATTCAAGTGCGATGAATTGTAAATGCTTCCAATTATCTAATGACATAGATTCCTTGTTCCTGGTAACTGGCTGCCTTCACTTTCAGCCTTTAAAATAGCCCTAAACAGAAAATCAGACTCTTGCGTTTAAAATCTGGAAGTCTGCACATGCTCAGCCTGTGGGTTAAGCTGGAGCCACTCAGACTTGGCTTTATGCATCTCACCAAAATGATCAATTAAGAAGCTTGTAACCCAGGAACTCTTGTTTGAAATGTGCACTTCTGGACATGGGGGAGGGGGGGACGGGGGTGGGAATAAAAGGAGTATATCAAAAAAGCCTTTCAACTTGTAGTGTCAAACTTTCTCCATTTGAAAACCCGGGTGCAGTAATTGGCTCTTGTGAAATTCTTTTCCTGAGCTTTGCAGAGCTTCAAGGAATTGATGGTGTTAAAAGAAAAAAGGGGGAAGAACAAAAATAGTTGAATGGCAGTTCAAATTTTCAAACAGGCCTCCTGAACTTGTCAAAGAGCTTATGTTCCTCACAGCCTCTGTAGTAGAGGGGGAGCAGGTCCCTGGGGAGGTGGGCAGGGCAGGGCCTGTCAGGCTGGGGGGCGGCTGGCTGGGCAGCGCGGGGCCGGGCCATGTGCCCGGCTGTAACATCCCCTGGGGTAAGACCCGTGCTTCGAGGTGCCAGCTCTGCAGGGGCAGCTTTGGCAGGTTTTCGGGGCTCCTGGTAAAGGCAAGAGGGAGAGGGGAGTAATAAGAGGGGCCTGCAGACCACCCAGGGAATGCTCAGGCAGGGTGAAGGGGAGCCCTGCTCCTTTGGCTCACCTCCGCCTTGAAAAAGAGCGGGTGCAAGGGTTTTGTTGCTGTTGGGTGCTAAGAAGGTGAGGCAGGGATTGAATGCCCAAGCCATGCAGGCTTTTATCTCTGGCTGCTCCTGCTTCCACGTGATCTGGGCGCACCTCTTGCCCCTGCGTGAGGAGCAGGGGAGTCAGTGCCAGCGCTGGGGCCGAGTGGTGCCTTTGGAAAGCCAGGTTATTGCAGCCTGCAAATGCCCCGGGGAACACGGAGCTGGAGAGGGCTGAGAGGTGGTAATCACGCTGGTGGTACTGTTTCAGTCTCCCAGAAGCATTCCTCCCCATCTCGAGGGTGGAGGGGTCATGTTTCCATCCTCCTCTGACTTTACTCCTATGCTGCTGCCTGCAAGGTGGAGAGAGATGCCCGTGCAGATGCTTTCTTTGCACTTTGTGGGCTGGCTGTTTCTATTTACCCCCCTGGTAAGGTTTGGCATGTTTGTATCCTAAACCAAAGCTCTCACACAGTGGTTTAGACCCCATTCTTCCACTCCCAGAGGAAAACACCAAAACTGTTTCAAGCCTACAGAAAAGGGGTGCTGGTGAAGAACCGGCCAGCCCAGGGAAGGAGAAGTACGGTTGGAGCCTGGTGAGAGACTGAGATATTCTCTTGGGCAGGCTGGTTTTTTACTCCTTGTCCTTGTGTGCTTCATATAATAAGGGAGCAGGATCTTAGTTAAAGCTGCATCCCAAGTCATGCTCCTGCATGGACCCCGTCGCTGCCATCCCTTGTTCTGGATACCATCGTTGGCAAAATTAAAGAGGTCCTGCTGGGCTGCAGCCCGGGAAAACAGGGCAGTGCTGCTGTGGTGACGCTGCTGCGGTGATGCTGTTCCCTGAGCGTGGTTCTGGCTGCTGGCACTGCTGCTCACCCAGCCCTGCTCCCCACCTCTCCCCATCCTTCCCCGAGGAGGCTGCTGCTCCATTCCCCCTCTCTGGGCCGTGCACAGGCCCTTGCGCTGAATTTAGCCTCAGAAAAGCGATACTCCCACTGAGCATCCTCCAGGTGATGCCTGTTCCCTTCATCGTCTGTTCTGGGAGAGGGTTTTGTACATCACCAAGCCAACAGCTCTGCACGTGCTGTGGGTAACTGCAACCCCCAGCAGCATCCCCACGGCTGTGCCCCCTTGCAAAGCCCTGTCTCCCTCGTCCCTCCCTTTGTAGCAGCAGTTGAATTTTTTTTTTTTTTGGTACATCGTGGTGCCAAGCTGCAGCTGGTTTCAGATGCAGGAATAGGGGAGGGTCGTGCAGGGGGAGAGGTGGGTCGCAAGGTGCCGTGTCCCGAGTGGGTGTCTCGACAGGTGGCAGCAGCGACTCTCCTTCAGCTCCGGCTGCTCCTACCCCCCAACCCGCCTCACCCCCTCCTCCACCTCCGGACTCGCCCCCCGCGGTTCCCCCTCGCCTCCTCCCGCCCGCAGCAGACGGCGAAGGACCCGGCCAGCACCAGCTCCCGGCTCCGCTGAGCGGCGGGGCGGCCGCGGGGGGGGGCGCAGCACCCCCCGCTTCGGTCCTGTGGGGTAAGCTAAAGTTATGCTTCAGGGTGTCTATTTTCTTAATAACCATTCAAAAAAAAAAAAAAAAAAAGTGATGTGGGTAAGGCCACGCCGGCTTAATAAAGGAGGGAGCGAATGGAGAAAAAAAAAAATCGTATTAAAAGTTAATGTTTTCTTCAGATAATTAAAGTAAAATAATCATGCAAGGGCAGAAAATGTAACACGTTCGATGTGTCTTGTATAAAGCGCAAAGGTAGCAGGAATTAAGCCCTGAATAAAACGAAGGCAATGGTGGTAACTTGTTTGGGGTTTTTTGTGTTTTGTTTTGTTTTTTAATCTGGAATGTGTGTTTTTGCTTAACTGTTCCGGGGGGGGGGGGGGCGGGGGAGGGGGTAAAAGGTAAAACGTGGGGCGAAAGGGGGTTAAAAAGGAAACTAAAGTTTAAAAGGGAAAAAAAAAGTTAAGAAGGAAAAAATGCTTAAAAGGGAAAAAAAAGTGTTCAAAAGGGGGAAAAAAAAGTTAAGAAGGAAAAAGTGCTCAAAAGGAAAAAAGTTAGGGTGAAAGAGTTGAAAAGGTGAAAAAACAGTTAAAAAGGAAAAATTAAGCTAAAAAGACTTAAGGAAGAGTCAGTATTTGAAACAAAAACGGGCTTGCAAAAATTTTTAAAAAAGTAAATTAAAAATTAATGGGAAACTTTGATGGACATAATCATAGAATCAGAATAGTTTGGGTTGGAAGGGACTTTCGAAGGTTATCTACTCCAAGCCCCCTGCGACAAGCTGGAACATCTTCAACTAGATCAGGTTGCTCAGAGCCCTGCCCAATCTGACCTTGAATGTTTTCAGGATGGGGCATCTGCCGCCTCACTGGGCAAACCTGTTCCATTGTTTCACCACCCTCATCATAAAAAAATAGCAACTTCCTTCAGAATTTTCTTGAATGGGTGTATGGTCCATCTGGGTGTGTGATCCCTACCTGCCGTAAGACCGATGTCCAGAGAGAGCAGATGAATTACGTCCTGATCAAACCATAAAGGGAACCTAAACAATGTTTATGTTGTAAATTAAGGAAGTGGCTCCCCTCCCAAGGGCAAAATAATATGAAAGAATTTGCTAACATCTGCAAAAATGGTATGTTTAGGCTTTCAAAGTAATAAAATACACACATTCAAAACTCCCAACCTTATGACACTTGTAAAATAGCCAAATTAAGACTTCCAAAGTACATAGATTTGCTTTTTGTTTCAAAGAGAACAAGTGCATGGGGATTTTTTTCCTTAAAACTCTCTTAAAACCTCTTTATTTTGGGGAACCTAAGGTGTGATTTAAAGTTTGGAGGGTTTTTTTTTTGTTCACCCAACTTGTTTCTGCATTAAGCAGTGCACAAACTGCAGCCTCTGTTTCGGGCTGAGAAGACAAGGCTTGCTAATGAGCTTTATGAATGTTTTAATACACGAGTAACTGCAACCTATTGCAGCAAAGTTCATTGCTTTTATTTTGCTGCGTTTACTTTTATGAAAGACAGGCACTCACTAACTCTGTATTATGAGGTTTTACAACTCTGAACTGAGGTGAATTGCTTTATTTCTGTTTTTGTTTTTATTTTTAAAGGGCAAGCTGTCTGGTGTGCTTCTGAGCTGAAGCACCTGCAGGGATGTCCTGTGGTTGAAGCACTTCGGTTTCTAATTTGACCTTCATGAGATACTACATTTTTAAAATGGATTTGCTTATCTTGAGCAAGAGAAGCGACAAAAGTGCATGTGGCAGACCTTTTCCATTTCCAACTTTTGTTTTTAGCCAGCTATTGCACTGCAGGCTTGCCAGTAAACTGTTCTGAAAAGGCCCCAGGTCTTTGATTCTGTGTCCAGCATGAGCAATATAGCTCATGTGTAAGCTATATAGCATTTACAACTTCTGTGGTTCTGCTTGCCGCTGCAAAAATATATAACTTTCTTAAGGGCAATTTTCCTGAAATTACTGTATGTACGCACACAATACACAGTGCATGAGAGAAAGCTTTTAAAGCAATAAACTTTGTTTCTTCGACGTTAAGCTGTTTGTTCTCGATGAGATCTACCACAAAAAATCTGAGGGCTGTTTGCAACCGGCACATGCCCGCATGTGCTTTCATAAACAGCACGTGCTGGCTTATTACAAAGTTCAGCTTTCCTCCTGCTGAAAGCTTTTGGCTCTGCCCTGGAGTCCCTGTGCCTGGCACCCACAGTCAGGCGTCAGCCGGTACCAGGTTTTGTCCCAACTTGGTGATTTCTGTGCCAGTTGCTGGAGTGAGAGAAGGCCTGGTTGTCTGCTGAGCCGAAGTCTGGTAAACTCACCCTTTGGCAACTGCCCGCCTTATGCAGCTGATGAAACGCTGCTGCAGGGACCCCGCTGCAGCATGGCATCTCACCCGTGCTGGTGAGCACTGACAGGGCCAGGCTGGACCTCTGCTGTCCCCTTTTGGGTCGCTGGGGCACCCCACCTCCTCCTCCTGCCCTCGCTGGCTTGGCCAGAGCGAGGAAGCCCCCATGCAAGGGTGGGTGGCTGTGCCTCCCACCCTGAGTTAGCAATCGGGTGGTGATCACCTGCACCCTGTTGAGACCCTGTAAGTGGGCACAGGGGCTGGGTCGTGCCAGTGGGCTCCTTGCCCTGGCAGTGGGCTCAGGGGTGGCTCCAGGACCAAGTGCTCTCCCGGCAGAGGCAGAGGAGTTTCTCGCTGCTCAACGGCTGATACCCCTCCTGGCACCAGTACCTGAGGACCAAGCCCAGGGAGACACCTGAGCCTCTGTCCATGTAGTAGTATCATAGTGCTGTGTGGGGAGAGCCCTGCACAGCACCGGGGGAGAAGGGGAGATATTGAGTGCAAGTGGTGACAAAGCCCCCACCGGCGATGCTTTTGAAAAGGCTGCCTGGCCCCTGTGTCACTCCTGTGGGTCCTGCAAGTCTCTGCGTAATCTGAGAGACATAGGGAAGTCTAGTGGATTTATCTGGAAAATAAGCCTTCTAGTTGCAAACTCTGCAATGTGAGCAGCTACTGAACAGCTGAAGTGGGACTGGAAAGGTACAGGATGGGAACAGTGTGCAGAGAGCAACCCTTAGGAGGGAAAGGATGAGAACAGGCATTTTTTAATACCCCAATATTCTGGGAGAATAGCGTTGGCTAAAACTCAAAGCAATAAAAATACTACTGCTATACTATAGAGAGATACTTTTTCCATCCTAGCCTTTAATTTGTCTTCTAATTTGTTACCCACAACTATTCAGAGCTATTCAGATATCCTGCTTAGGTCATCCTTTCTGCATTACACCCTTTGCAACATTAGTGGTGTCCTTGTTCCAGCTTCCTAGTACCTGGTGAGATCCAGCAGTGAGACAGGCTCCTAAAGGGATGCCAGTCTGACTGTGTGCTTGCAAAAAAACCCTGGGTATGCTAACACAAGGCCAAGAAAACGTGGATGAGTAGATTCTTGTGTAACAGCTATCACAGGTGCCGATATCCTGAATTAAAGGAAAATACTCTGACCAACTCTAGTTAAGCCAAGCTTAAAACCTGCAGGCATAAACGTGCTTTTTCTAGCTTAGGGGGAATTTTTGAGGGAAATTCTGAGTGCAGCTGTAAAACTAATGCGAGAGAGAGGTTTGGTTTGCCTCTGCTTTTGCTGAGATGATGTAGGCTTTTCCTCCAGAGGGGCTGACAAGACACAAACCAGGTTGAGTAAAACCAGGCTTTCTCCAGGTCCAGCAATACTGTTAACAAGTAGTTGAGATGTCCAGGCAGGCTGCCCAGATGCCTGGCCTGGGTCTGTTGTACAGTTGCATTTTTTGGCACTGGCTAGCACCTTTCCCAACAATTCCTCACCATGGCTTGGAGATAAGCTGGTCCAGGGACTGTTCTCAAGAGGCATTTTGGAAACAACATATAGTTTACAAAGGTTTGGGAAGGTAAAGGGTTCAATAGTATGGCATGGGCTGCCCTGAGCTGCTGCCTACTCATGGAGGTGGGCAGGCTGCCTGCCCTGGGTGGGCAGTCACCCCACAGCAGCCCTGACATCGTGTCCCACTTGCTGGGGAACAGTGTGTGCTCTGCTCTAGGAAGTGGATTAGAAAAAAAAGTAATCACCCTTAGAATTTGGAGATTATTTGTGCTTTTAAAAAATCTCCATCCTCATTTCTTCCTGAGGGTCCCAGCTCAGCTCCTGGGGACAGGGTTTTGTTCAGTGCGCCCGTACCCTGGGCAGAGAGCTGGTCCATCACGCTATGCATAGAGGTTAACATGGAGGAGGACTTTACTCGCAGAGGAAGATACTCAAGCGTTAAATTTTCTCCCTGTGCCTATTGACTTTGCTTCTGATGCAACACGTCTCTCCCAGATCACAGAAGCTGCTGTGAAGGTGAGGACCACACAAAGCCCTGCAGCCCCTGCATGCCCCAGACGTGCCTCCTTGCCCACAGGAAGAAGCACTGTCATGCCATCATCAACACATCCCCGCGCCCTTCACCCTGTGTGCCTGCACGGTGGGGTCCCGAGCAGCCCCACAGAGGGACAGGCGGGCAATCGCTCGCTCAGGTACCCGAGACGTTGCTGTGCATGTAGGTCCCGTTGGCAGTGTCTCTGGGCAGACCCTTTCTGACCTGTCCTCCCTGGGGCGAGGTGGTCCCGGGCCCAGCAGCATCACTCCAGGCAAAACTCAGGCAGCTCCAGGGCAGCAGGCAAAGGGCGACGCATTTCCCAAACCTTTGTCCCATCGTGGTTTAGGGGAAACACAGCATCACTGAGTGCCCAGCTGTCCCCAGTGCCTGCTATTTCCCTTTGCTTCTGAGCAGGAGTCAGCTGGGCTCCTAGGGCACGAAGCCCTGAGCAGCAAAGCTATCAGCCGCTCTTCCCCCGGGGTTGCCTCTCCTCCGCATCGGCACAAACCCCACGTCCTGGCTCCTAGCACTGCCAGCCCTGCTCTGGCCACTCACCTGAGTGGCTCTGAAGCCCTGCAGAGAAACCAGGCGTGGGAAAGGGAGTGAGAAGCAGCAAGTGCTCGGGATCCATCTTTTACAGCTCCCTCCTGCAGTGACTGGCTGTCACCATCTCTCCGGGTGCTGGAACTGCACATGGGGCACCCTCTTCCTCCTCCTCCTCTACCTGCCAAAATCCACGCTTGAGCTCACTGCTGAGACTCCTGAGCTGCAAACCCTCTCGTGGTTGTCTCTTCCCTCCTGCCAGAGCCTAGGGCTGGTTTTCTGTAAGCTGCAGTGGAGTGGGATATGAGCTACAGGAATCAAAAGGGTTTCATAGCAGCAACGCCACCAGCTCTGCTGCTGTGGGAACTGCAGAGAATTCTGTTTTCCCTTTTCCTTGGGGTTCCCTCTGCATGTCATCTCTGCCTCTCACTTCAGGCCCTGATGTTTGATAGCTGGAGGGGCTGTGGTAGAGTCCAGCTCTTGTCTCTCGGGATGTAAGTTGCTCTTACCTGCCCCTACCTGCCTGGTCCCTTGTGTGCACCCAGGAAGAGGCGCGGTGCCCCACGTTGCCCAAGCACTTGAGACCAAAATGTTTTGTAGCAGGCAATGCCTCTGTGCCGAGGCTTTCCTCAGCGGCCAGTACACCAGCTGTGTGATCAGCAGGGCTTTGTGGTGGTTTTTGGAGCATCCCCTGCTGTGGCTATCTTCTTCCCTCCTTGCACCCCTTGGAGCTCCCTTTGCCCTGCGGGTCTCCTTTGCCCCTCCTGTCCTGCATCCTTGCCTGTCCTGGGGCAACCTGAGACTTACTGCAGGTGTAAGGGTTAAAGCCCAGGCTGTTGTTCATTAGTAGTAGTAGCACAAATACAGCAGCCTCGGCGGCTGGGTGTGAGGACATTTGTAAGTGCTCGCAGCTTGGCAGGGAGATGCTCCGGCTCTGTGGGTTGGTTTTTGTTCACCTCTCTTGTGTATCTGTGGCCTGTAGCTGCAGCCAGTGTGCTTGGCTGAGCACTGCTACCCGAGTGGGTCCTGGGGGCCAAAATGTTGCCCTGGATGTGTGGGCAGCTCCTGTTTGTAAAAGCAAATGGCAGTCTTATGGTCTTAGGGTGATTTACTGCAGCACATAGAGGGGAAATAAAAATGTCAGATGGGATCAAACCCCTGTCCCATCCCATTCTGGGGATGCAGCCGAGGGGGTCTGCAGCAAGGAGGAGCTGTGGGGCCGGGCAGTGGCTGGACCTTGTTTGTGGTCCCTCCTCATCACTGGGGCCCTCTCTTGCTCATGCCCAGGGCAGGTCAGCAGTGCCCTGGCCTCTCCTTGCACTTACAGAGAGGTTTCTTGTCACCTCTGTCATCCTTTGGACCTGGGAACACCTTAATCCTACTCTCTCTGTCTGCCCATCCGATTCTCAGACACTCCTTTTTGGTTTTGGCTGTGCTGGTACCTCTCTGGGCTTCTCTCCAGGGTATTTACTTGCTTTGTCAGGAAAACCTGTTTCAGCCTCCCATGACTCATAATGATCTTGCTCAGAAACTACTTTGATTTCTTCTCTTTCCTGGTTAATCCTTCTTAAATAGTAAGCTTTCCCTGGGTCCCCTTGGAGAGTGGGACCTGGAGGGGGGGGTCGTTCCCTGCTGAGTGAATATTGCTGGTTTCTTGTTTTGGTTTGTTTTTTTTTCCTTTCCCCTTCTGACTACAGGGATTTTGCTGTTTGTTTGTGCGAAGAAGGTAAGCCTTGAGGCAGCCTGGGCTGTGGGAGAGTGTAACACTGACAGCAGAGAAACCAGCCTCCAGGTATGCCCTGGGTGCAAACACAGTCATCTCCCAGCATCTGGGAGCTGGGGTGCTGGCAACCCCCTGGGCATTGGGGATGCACCCGTCTGGTTGGATGGGGCCAACCCTGAACTGGCCCCTCCACTGAGCCTGAGCCTGGTGCCTGTGAGCCTTCTCCTGCCGGGGCTTATGAGCTAGCCCCAGCACCTCTGATGGCTGGAGGACAGTGGGAAGAGCCAAAGGCAGTGCCCTCTGTCCCCCTCCCCACAGTTGGATGTGTCCTGATGCTGAATAGCTGGGGACCGAGCACGTGCCGCAAGCGTGGCCTTCAGCACAGGGCAGGCTGTGGTAAGTCTCGTCACATGTGCTGGGGAATGAACAGGCTCAGCAAAACCCCGGGGACACAATAACCACGCTTGAGCTTGTGCTCAAAATGCTGAGTAGATGACATGGATTATTCCTTTGCTAATGCTCTTAAGAGCTATTCCTGGGGCCGAGGGAGATAAAGGGGCTTATTATCGCAAAATCAATATCCTCCTGGGGTGGGATTTCAATGCTGTTCGCCGTTCCCTGCTTTCTGGTGGCGGCTGTCTGCACAGAGCTGGGGAGCTGGGCACCGGGCTGTGCGTGCAGGGGGTGAACCTGGGCTCAGAGAAGCATGTCCCTGCCCCGGCTCAGCGAGCCCCTTCCTTGTGGGGAAGGCAAGAAGGAAGGGGGAGCTAGCAGGGGAGCTGGCATGGCTCTCCCAGCTCCAGGATCTTGAATGGGGCCTTCCACCTTCCTGGTGGATCACCTGTGGGTGACCTCCTTCAAGGGCTGCTCCTCCACCACAGCAGCCTGCAAGGCAAAACTCAGTTGACAGTTTTCAAAGCTGGCTCAAAGGTCTCTTGCACCTGCGTTCAAATCTCCCTCCTGGCTGATGGTGATCCACTTAGGGATAAAACTTTGCTGAGCCATGATGGCATTTCCCCTACATTTTCCTGTGCACCTTTGAACTTTTCAAATACCGCCCGGGCAAAAGTTCCCCTCATACATGCTTCCACCTACATGAGTGTTCACCGTGCCCTGGACAGTTTTCCCCTCCAGTCCCTGCTCTACAGATTCAAAGCTGGCACCTTGGCTCAGATCAGCTGCTGGGGCTCTCCTGTCTCCTGTCCCACGGCCTTACCAGGCCAGGATGCCCACAGCCCTGGGAATGGTGCATGGCCACCCTCTATCTTGTCTAATCCTTGTGCCCTGCCTCCCTTTGTTCTGGTGGCCCTGTCCAAAAAAAAGCAGCATCCCCCTTCCCGTGGCACAGGCAGCCAAGCAAAGGTGTGTTGGCATCAAGACGGCACCATGACAGTTAGGAAATCCCTCCTTTAATCTCCTGTAGGTGTTTTTTCCATCCTGGCATGGCCCACACCCTCATATCATTCTTCTGGTTTGGCACAGCCCCTGTCAGCTCTGCAGTTTGTTGTTGTGCTGCTTTGGCACCAAAAAGCACCAGCACTGGAGAAGAACAAGCGCTTTTCTTCCAGCTCATGATGTAAGGATGTCTGGAGGAGGGTCCCCAGAGGAACACAGGTAGATGAACTACAAGGGTAACCAGAAAAGGTCTACGTGGTGCTCTGCCTCATGGGGTTTCAGTTGTAGTGCGCCCCATGTTTTGGCCCACACAAGGTCTGGGCATGGTGGGCAGGAGCATCCCTGCACGGAGAAGTGCTCATCCCCTGCGACTCACATGCTCCCTGGGCAGCAGTGGGATCCAGGTCCTGTACCCAGGGGAGGGCTGGGGTGTGACTAGATGGATGAACAGTGACAGGAGGGAAGAAAAAGAAGAAGAAGAAGGAACTGGGTGAGGGGAGACTTGCTGGGAGAGCTGGATGACTGCAGGGGTCTTGACATAAAAGAGCTGGGGAAGCTTATGCATTGAACCCAGCTGGATGGGTGTTGCTGTCTGACTGAAGCCTGTGAAGTTTCCCTGGAACACTTGCTTTTGTTTACATGGGGAACTGGCAATGGGAATGTAGGTGTGTGCCTCAGTGCCTCAGTTGTTTTTCTATGTCAGGCGCTTTGGAGGAGAAATGGCAACTGAGAGATGTGGGAGGGGAAAGTCAAAGCGCACAGGTAATTTTCTGTCTAGGACTGCACTCGATTTCTTGCTGTGCCATAGAGATCCCTGGTGCAAAACCAGAAAGCAATGAACCCTCACTATTCAAGGGAATTTACTTTGGTCATATTATTTCCCTTGTTGTTTTTTAACCAAACATTCTTTCAGGTAAACTTGGTTGTATATCCCCAGTACATTGCAGTGTGTCGCACTGATTGCAGTCAAGAGATGAGATCCTATTTCTCACGGGAAATAGTGTTTGCACACTTCAGCAGGCCACGTCTGGTCTCACCCAGGTCCACTAGTGAGCATTGCAGAACTTTTTTGCAGAAACCTAATTTCCACTACTGAACATACAAGTACTAATTTCAAGTCATTGACCATGGATGATCCTCTTTGCTTACAGAACATTCTGCAAACAGAAGGACATAGAAGTATTCTGTGACTAAATTACCCATTGCAAGTCACTTGCTTAATTCTCTTGCTCATTCATCCTTCATGCAAACCAACCAGGGCTAGCTCTGTGGGAGAACAAACCATTCTCCAGAAGGATGACTCCAGGTTTTTTTGGTGCA